CCAATCAGGGTGCGCAACCCGAGGCACTGGGTTTGGAAGCTTCTGAAGCGCAGCTGGAATGGTAATCAACTTCTGAATCACGGATCCCAAACGCTCCAGGTAATAGTCCCAATCGATCACAGCTCGGGGATCCATGTCTCCAGGATCTTCTTTTAGCCATTTACGCAAGAAGAATCGCTTGATGTTCTCTTCGGCTGAAAATATAGCCACAGGAATGGCTCTTTCAGTGACAGGTGTATTCCGTGGGCGTGATGAGATGATGTATTTGCAGTTGAGGCCTTTGTCTTTAACCATTTGTTCACCCAAGAACTCTGCCAGCCGCTTTGCCGTCGTGATGGATGTGGACTTTTGAGAGCCGTACTCTTCCAGAGTTTTTGACATGCTTCGATTTTCCGAAATGAGATCGACCAGCTCTTCATCGGCTAATGTCGTTCCGTGTTCGTACAGAACGTCCAACCACCGATCCGCAACTCGAGCCACAGCGGCGTAGGTCTCGGCAAGATTAGAGCCCTCTAGGAAAAATTTGAAGAGTTGCGTCTGGAAAATCTTAATCAATTTCAGCTCTCCTCTTCGCTTGACTTCAAATCCCTTGAGTTCAGCCAGGGAGCCATCGTGATTGAAGACTGCATATCGTTTCTTCAGGTTCTTGTCTTCCTCCTTTGACGTTGGCAAAATCATTGCCCTGTATGGTCCATCCACCTCGAAGAAGATGGAATTTTCACTGTGGGTCTCGTACTTGAAGGTTTTCGGATCGACAAGCGCCTGGTACTGGTGGTTGGTGTATCTTGCATGGACGAGATGGTTAAGCATGACACAGGGGTATGATATACCCAACTTCTTCCCGTTCTTCAGGGTGAAGGAGAAGTTATCGGGGAATCCCCCTGGAAGCATACACCAGATACCGTCGGTATCCAATTCCAGGGGACGACCGATGCGTTCGACAAGCTCTCTCGCCATCTGAATAATGTGAGCACCTGTCAGACAGGTGACACCGGCCATTTCCATGGAATACCACCGAGAGCCCTTTCGCATCACATAGCCGTAGAAACTGTTGAGAATGACCTTGTGTGCAAGCTGAAGAGAATCGTACAGAATAATCATCTTCTTCGCCTCCTCGATTTCAGAGGCTGAGCCGCCCGACGATTGCAAACCATCGGCTTTATTCTTCCAAGATTTTTGCTTGCCCTTGAAATCGTACCGTCGGTCACGGAAGTCTCTGACAGTGTCGACATAGAAGGGATTTTCTCTCTGGCAAATGATAGCCTCCCGCTCCATCGTCTTGCTGTCGTGAATCTTGTGATAAATCTTCTTGCTGTAATCCTGCAGCCGTTTCTTGACCACCCCAGCTTGCTCTTCGATGCTCAATTCACCGAAGGACCTCATTGGAGAGTTTGGGTACCTGCCTGGGAAACGTTCATTTGCTGTGGCACGTCGGATCATATTGTATTCATCACGTTTGGCAGGCAAGAATTCACCTCGCCATGCCCAAGGCATGCGTCTATCACAGGTTTTTCCAGGTCGGTTGAAGTCGCAGGCGGCGCAGTTTGACTCATCAATCAACGAGTCTGGTTGCAATCGGTTGGTGATCATGATGTTGGGATACATAGAGGCGACGTCCAAATGGTAAATGTAAGGCACCTCGTTCCGGACTGGATTGTTCTTGAGATCGAGCAAACGTTCCACGATTTGTGCCCTAACCTCATCATAGTTCACGACATCATTCATGGATTTCTTTTCTTCAACCTCAATACTGAACTTGAGGGCGTGATCGAGGTCCTTGAGAAGCTCATCAATCGCAGTAGGATCAACGCTGAAATGTGTAGGGATATCACTTCGGAAAACACCAGCTTCAATACTTTCAACATGGCCGCCGACGTAAGTCTCTGACTCCAGAAGATGGCCTTCATAAAAGGCTTCTGGGGGATTCTTGTGTTTGTTGGGCAAAACAATCTCATGCTGGTAGGCTTGAACCATGAGAAGCATCTCACACAAAGTTCCAGTTCCCTTCCGCAACGTTTCGTCGGCATTAAGGGGAATGATTGTGCATAGCGAGAAGATGAACGGATGGACATATTTCATATACAAGTAATAGGTAGCAACAGCATCGGAAACCGAGTATTCGGCTAAGGTCTGTGGCCTTTCACTCGCATACGGTGTCATAAGCTCTGGGTCGAGTTCATCCGGGTCGTACCCAAGCTTTGCAACAGTCACGGCTTTCAAACCTCGACTTCCTTGGGGGAGGTAACTGTCACGGCTGACCCAGGAGAAACAATCCATATGCACACAGTTGTCGGCTTGGTAGATGTCCTCGCTGTTTTTCCGGAAGCCGATCTCCATATACATGTCAAGTCCCAAAATACTGGCTCTTGTCTCCACAAACGGCCAATCGAAGAAGTCACCGTTGTATGTCGCAATAACGGTAGGCTTGGAAATTTTGACGTGCTCGAAAAATCGCTCAAGGACTGCTCTTTCATTGGGTTCATTGAAGATAATGAATGGTCCGTTGTACTCTGGTTTGGGGGTGTACTCGAAATCGTGAATGTCCTCGGACACAATCTCTCTGTTGGTAATTAGGAACCCTTGCCCATCAATCATGTATGAAATCATCATAATCTGATCCATGGTGGCGTCGGGAAATTTCAGCGGTAACTTCGTACACTCGATGTCAAAAGCGAGAACGACGGGATCAGCACGCTGAAGCCGATCTTCCAAGCAGGTCAGCGATATCACGCCATGGTCTGCCTGAACATTGTACCATTTTCCAATCCGAATGTCTGCGATGCATCAGCTACAAGGCCTCATCGGGAGACAAAGAAATAACCGACCTTTATCAATGCAGACCCGGACATGGTATGGCACGTCGTATTCTCGAATATCAACAATAAAATCACTCGCTTGTAGGTTGCCATTAGGTCGTTGCTCATTAATTATTTCATCGTCAAAAAGGTCGATACCAGCAGTTGCACTATGAGAACCATGAATTAGCCCAATATTCAGATCGAACCATGTGATGCAGAACAAACCTGGTCATCTCAACATATGCGTCCATCGCACTCTCATTTTTCTTGTTCTTCTCTGCGAGAGGAAGGAGGGTCCTCCTAACCTCCAAAAGATTGCTCACATTGGCGAAGCTGAGCTTGATGTAGGTTTTTCGGTAGCCGAGGAGGTGATTTGGGAGGTTGAGATCTTCTTTCTCGAGTCGCTTGAATTTTTTGATCATACCCTCAAAGGCTCGGCGACACCACTCTTCTACCTCCATCTCATAGCCCTTTTTGACTGAAATCAAGAAATAAGGATCGTATTCCACAGTAGCTTTGAAACTTCCTCCGTCGTCCTGCAGAAAGTAATAATCCACGCCGGCTCGACCTCCAGGCACGTCCGGGTCCTCAATCGACGTGCTGTGCATGTTGACCAGCCAGCCGGCCCTTGTCTCGCCAGACTCGAATCGTGGGAAGCCGAGAGTTTCGTCGATGCTGTTAGCCAACCGAATGGCCTCGAATTTCTCATCTTGAGAAGTCGCCTCGGTCGAGCGTAAGGAGTTGAATTGGACCGTTTTGGAGCGTCGAGGATTCGCGGATGCAGCACCAGATCGGAACTTGTTTCCATACTTGCTGGGCTTTCGTGGAGGCATTGTGACGCTTCGCCCGGTTGGGCTTGTTAAAGTACCTCTTTCAAAGGGCGGGACCAGTGCAGAACATGAAATGCGCACTTGGTGAATTTCAGGTCAAACAAAAGAAAGACAAAAGAAAGTATAGGTAGGCACAAATATAATGAAATCTGGTTCTGGGGCTAATTGTGCCTCTAGGAGGGTCCAGCAATGGCCTACAATCTGCTATAATCAAATCGATTTCGATAGTCCCGACGCGTTCGCGTACTGCCCACGCGCGTTGAGGCTGTTAGTCAGCTGTTCGGAATAACCATCTATTTATGGATTCTGGATTATCCATTTCTCCGATATTGGTGATCTTCTTCGATATTGATGAAGACAGCAAGTGGAAGTCTAGAAGCAATTTACTCTACACAACGATGTCGGAAGACTCACGAGATCCCAGCTCTGTTCCACAGGCTGGGAGCAACACACAAATCCCCAACGATCTAGCCGATTCGCAGAAACCGAAACACAATCCGTCTCAGTCACAAACTGGAAAGCTATGGGATGCCTTCGGAAACCCCGAAGAACCTGCGAACGCGCTCGCCAAAGCAACCTATAAGCCCCGGGGCAAAAACCCTAAGGATGTGCCATACTCAGAGATTATTGGAACATTTCCGGTCTCCGAAATGACCACCCTTCACAAAAGACCGTGTGCTCGGGAGTCCTTATTGACTGGCATTGGTGTTGGATTTGGAGTTGGTGGTCTACGAGGTTTGGTTAAAGGTATGCCTGCACTCTTTCGACATTGGAACACTGGAATCATGGTCTAATATGTGTATACAGGACGGTACTATCTATGGTCTGCAGGAAACTGGGCTGTTGGCATGTTTGCGATTACCTCATTAGCGTCATATGAATACTGCCGCTGGCGACGAAATAACGAATTGAGTGGCATGGCAGAAGCGCTCGATCTGATGAACCAACTGAAGGCCAAGAAACAGCGTGAGAAGGATACGGCAGAAGAGGAAGCGGCATTGCGCGCGTCTCTTGCTGAGCAGGAAAGAAAGAGCAAGAGTTGGACCAATCCCTCCAACTACAAGTTCTGGTAGTGCTGTTGGTTCATGAAAAGGAGTCATGGAGTTCATGAGGTGTTCCGAAAACTGTATATGTATTCCGGTCAACGGATCAAGTGGTGATCGACGTCATGTCATAAGTCATCTCTGTGTATCATAGCTCTCTGCAAAGTTCATATTGTCCGCCCAATCATCGTCGGACCCTCCCATTTGTTTGAGAGAAAAACAAAGAAGTAAAAAAAACAAAACCGCCCATATGCCTGCCTTTCAAGAGAAAAACGCCGAGTAAAGATATCCAAAATGTGGCTGCATGTTGCGCAGCTATGTCTCCCCCGCTAGAAATTGAATTTCACGCGCTTCTGAATGGCATCTTCGTTTCTGCCGTGCAATTTATCTAGCTCAACGCCATCCCTCCTCCTTTCGCGTCGTCTTTCACGAGCTTCCCGGGCTTCGCGATTCTTCCATTCTGCCACTTGCTTTTGTCGCTTCTGTGATCTTTCCCACGCAATTGAGGCGGTGGGCTTGAAGCCTATACCGTTGATCCCATATCCATCATCCGTTGGGTCGGATGGGTTGTGGCCTGTTATTTCCGAATCATGCCATACAAGCGGGTCTTCTTCAGACGGAGTGTCCGCAGGAGGGGGGATAGTCGTTGTTTGCGTTTAGATGGCGATGATGGATTCAACTGTTTGCGAGAGAAAGTTTCAGACTTCCTCTTTGAGGGGGAAATAGACAAGGAAGTCGGCAAGGGAGTCGGATCCTGTGTTGCGGGCGGCTCGAATCGCAAAGCTTGGCGGTCACCAGGTTCGCTGCTAGTTGCCGGTAGGGCTTCAGGCATATTCTTGAGCTCGTGGCTGTCAGGCTCGCATGCTTTCTGCGCCGGTAGAGCCAGAGATCCTAGCCGCGAGTTGCAAGTCAAAGTTCCAGGGTCCGAAAGAAGGTCGCCACGAATGGCTAACTCTCCGAATCGTCCAGCCACTGCAGCGCGAGGACTATAGCTTTCCAGCTCGTCCTCGTCCCGAAGTGGAACCTCTTGAAAACTATCGATAGAGGCTAGCGATGTGGGTGAGGCTGAGGGGCTATAGAAGTCTGATTCTGAGGGCTCTCGTTTGCGCTTGGGAGAGAAAGAGGAAGGTAAGCTCATCGGCATCATACTGAAAAAGGACGTAGTGGGGACGTCACCGAGCAACCCGATGGATCTCATTTGTAAATAAATCGGGTATCCACCACCAAATTGTTCTCAGGAAACTAAGGTATTCATTCTGGAGAGCTCGCAAAGCGCGGAGGTCAAGGCTGAGAGGGGTTTGGTCTTGGGACATTCGGCATTGAATCAGACGTGGGGTACAATGATCGCCACTAAACAGGCCGCGCATGCATCAAGGGATTATTTTTGGTTCTGTTCTATTCTGCAAGGCATAAAAATAGGTTTCTTTGAATCTGAGACCCCTTACTCTTTGTAGGGCCACATGATGAACAACTTAAAACACTTATTGAAAAATATCAGAGCAGCGATAGTCAGAGCTGCTGAGGCAAAAGGCCTGGTAATAATTTACAAATACCTGCAAGCCGTACCAATCGAGTCATGAAGACAAAAGCAAAACCTAACGCCATGACAAAGACTCCCAAGTCCAAACAAATTGCACATCTAGGCCTTTTGCTTCTTCTTGGAGGGCTCGGCATCCGTGTCGTGCTTGCGCTTCTTCTTCTTGTCGGACTCGCCCTCACCACCCACGGACTTTCTCTTCTCCTTCTTTTCCTTCTTTTCCTTCTTCTCCTTCTTCTCCTTCTTCTCTTTCTTTTCCACCTTAGCCTCCGCAACTTCGGCGTCCTCCATATCAGCATCGCTCTGGTCGGCATCGACATCAAGGTCAGCAAGGACGGCATCCATGGCGTTTTTCTGTAAACTATTAGTATTTGCTTTTTTATTTAATATCGTAACTAGAGCTCAACATACCATGGCGACCTCGTTCTTGGTAGGGGCAGCGCCGGAGGTGTAGAATTCCAAGCGCTCCTCAACCTGGCTCTTCAGGGCCTCACCGAACTTGGTGTTAGGGGCCTCGGAGAAGTTGTCAATGCGGGAAGCAATGGAACACTTGTTGGCAAGGAAACGGGAGATTCTGCCCTTGTTCTTGGGGCCAGCGCGGCCGATGAAGGAAGAGTGGTACAGCAGACCGTACTTGGGGGTGTTTCCCTTGGTCTTCAAGGCACGGAAAAGAGCCTTCTCAGCACCAAGAATCTGAACGGTAGAGGCGGGGTACTTGGAGAGGTTGGTCAAGCTACCGGCGTGGGAGATCAGACGGGCACCGACGACCTCACCGATCAGGGCAGCAAGGTTAGGTGCGACGACGCTCATCTTAGCAACAAGGTAAGCGTAGAGAGACTTGCGGTACTTGGCGAGCTTGACAACGCGCTCGGCGAAAGCGACAACGTTCTCCATGTCGGCCTCGGAGATCTCTTGACCCATACTAGTCTTAGCAGCATCAATAATGCTCTGGGCAACAGCCTCGTCATCTTCAACAAGGGCGGCAATGTCGTGCAAGCTTTCGTTGGTTAGGGCCTGCTTGTCCTTGATGAAAAGGGCGAGCTCGGCGTAACGCTGGTTGTCAGAGACAATCTTAACGAGCTCGGGGAAGTGCCACGAGTACCATTCGCGGACACGCATGGAGAAGGTGTTGATGGCCTTGTCGAGTTGATCCAGAATGGCGATAGCCTGGATGATGTGGTTGTCGTCACGCTGGACGGAGAACTTTACCTTAGCACGGGAGTAAGCGTGACCGAGACCGAGCTGGGCAGTGTCCATATCACCATCGCGCAGCTGCTTGAGAAGCTTGCTAGCGTGGAGACGAATACCACGGAGAAGATCCTGAACGACCTCGCTGGTATCACCAGTCTCACAGTCGACGAATGAGAAAGCGGACTTGATGCTTCCTGCCAGAGCCTTGTCGGCAAGACCCAGGATCACCTTCTTCTTCTTGTTCGGCTTGGGGAGGTTCAATTCAAGGAAAGAAACGAGAGTCTCGGATGCGACACCTTCGGAGATGTCGTTGATTTCTCCAAGAGCCTGCTTGTTGTTCCTAAAAATTGTTAGTGGGCCATGAAAAACCTTTTCATATAGACAGATAAAGCGTACTCGAAGGGCAGGAAGCTCGAAAGCTCGACCATCTTTCCGAACTTGGCAAGGTCATTGACACCTTCCTGGACTTCCTTCAAGGCATTGCCGACAGAGTCGCCCTGATGGGCGACCTTGAAAAGCGAGTAACCCATAGGGCCCTCGAAAAGTAGGAAATCGGCCATCGTGTTAGGACCAATACAAGGTCAATCACAGAATAATGATAAAAACTTGCAAAACCGGCCAGAAAACCTCGAAAAGTTCAATTCGATGGATTGCTGGTGAGGTTGGCGACGGCTGGAAATGGACAATTTTTTTTTCTCGCCGCTAGTGCGAATCCTAAGGCACCGAACCGGAGGTATGACGGTAGGCCTCGGAGCATGTGTTTACCCGTTCCGCTGATACAGTCACGTGAACATGGAGCATGCTCGAATGTGGGCTTTTTGGCCGCGGACCTAACGTGGAACAAGCGCTCTACCATCCCTTTAATTTAATATTTTTGAGTTATTGGACGTGATACCCTGTCATTCATTACCTGGGAGATGTCTGCAACTCAACTACTTAACCCGAAGGCGGAGTCGAGGGTAAGGAAAATATTCCCAGATGGCCCCTCAATGCACACTAACATTTCACGCAGCGGAGAGGAGAGGCCTTGAAGGTGAACATCGGTGCCGGTGAAGGTCTTCAAGATGTTCTCAAGTCCAACTTGGGTCCTTCAGGAACTCTCAAGATGTGAGTTTTCTACGAATGCACCCCACATACAAAGGCAATGGAGCTGACAAAACTTAGGCTGGTTGATGGTGCAGGCGCAGTATGCAATCCCCGATTCCTCTCGAACGGCACAAAACACCCCTTTTCTGATACAGGCTTTCTATGATAGATCAAATTGACCAAGGATGGAAACGTTTTGTTGCGGGAGATGGTTCGTTCTGCCCCCATAATCCCAGGACTTCGAGCTTGTATGCTAACATTTAACAGCAAATTCAAAACCCTACGGCGGTAAGATGGAATTGTCTCAAGAGCTCCTACGTGTTGCTGACGAAATGGAAAGGTTATGATTGCTCGCGCTGCGACGGCACAAGACGATATTACCGGTGATGGAACAACATCTGTCGTTTTGCTGGTGGGTGAGCTTTTGAAGCAAGCGGAGCGTCACATCTCTGAGGGTCTTCACCCTCGTGTCATCACTGATGGCTACGAGATTGCCAAGACCGAGGCCTTGAAAGTATGTAATGGGGACTGAAAGTCGGATCTCGAGATGGATCTAACACATTACCTACAGTTCCTTGAAAACTTCAAACTCGAGCGTCCTATTGACCGAGAGCTGTTGCTTTCCGTCGCCCGTACCTCCCTCTCCACCAAGCTTAATGGTGCTCTCGCTGAGAAGCTTACCCCCGACATTGTCGATGCCGTGCTCGCCATCCACAGAGCCCCCGAGAAGCCCGATTTGCACATGGTTGAAATTATGACGATGCAGCACCGGTCCTCATCTGATACCCAGCTTATTCGTGGTCTTGCCTTGGATCACGGTGCCAGACACCCCGACATGCCCAAGCGGGTTGAGAACGCTTTCATTCTGACATTGAACGTCAGTCTGGAGTACGAGAAGTCGGAAATTAACTCGGGATTCTACTACTCTAACGCCGAGCAGAGAGATAAGCTGGTGGAGAGTGAGCGCAAGTTTGTGGATGCGAAGCTGCAGAAGATTGTGGACCTCAAGAAGGAGGTTTGTGGAAACGACCCCAAGAAGGGATTCGTTATTATCAACCAAAAGGGTATCGATCCCCTCAGCTTGGATGTTCTTGTCAAGAACGGCATCTTCGCTCTGCGAAGAGCCAAGCGCAGAAACATGGAGCGTCTGCAGCTTGTCTGTGGTGGAACTGCTCAGAACAGTGTTGAGGATTTATCTCCGGATGTTCTTGGCTGGGCTGGTCTGGTCTATGAGCACCAGCTTGGTGAGGAGAAGTTTACTTTTGTTGAAGAGGTCAAGGATCCTAAGTCTGTGACTATCCTCATTAAGGGTCCTAATGGACACACCATCACCCAGGTTAAGGATGCCGTTCGTGATGGTTTGCGCTCTGTCTACAACACCATTGTCGATGGCTGTGTCATTCCCGGAGCTGGTGCATTCCAAGTTGCATGTGCCGCACACCTGCAGTCCCAAGCCTTCACCAAGACCGTCAAGGGTAAGGCCAAGTGGGGTGTTGGTGCGTTCGCTGATGCTCTTCTGATCATCCCTAAGACTCTTGCTGCCAACTCAGGCCACGATATTCAGGATTCTCTGGCTGCTCTTCACGATGAGGCAACTGATGGTAACGTTGTCGGTTTGGATTTGGTCACTGGCGAACCCATGGATCCCGTCCAAGAGGGTGTCTTCGATTCATTCCGTGTTCTGCGCAACTGCGTCGCTTCCAGCACAGGCATCGCATCTAACCTCCTTCTGTGCGATGAGCTGCTGAAGGCTCGGCAGATGAGCAAATCCGGTGCCGGTGGCCCCGGTGGCCAAGAAGAGTAACACTTCTCATTTACGAAATCAGGCGGTTCATGTAAAGTTTAAAAGGGTTAAAGACTTGATTCCCTCACAAAATAGGGGGCCAAGAGCCAATCTATTCAAAAATACACAAACTTCACGTTGCTTCTCATTGTCGTCGTTTAATAAAAAAAAATACCGTAATCAGCGCTATCGTACATAAACTTGGAAGTTGTCTCATTGGGAGAATCAATCTTCTTCTGAGGCGACGCTTTGGCCGTCCCCATCAGACACAATCTCGGGGGGCCAAAGTCCCTCAAAGCCTTCTTCCCTGACCGGATCGTCCAGGGACAGATGGTGTGCTTGAGCCCACTCCCACACATCAGATTTGCAAATGGTGACCATCTGACCTGGTGGGATGGTATTGTCCTCCACAGCTGTACGGGTGGATTTACGTTTTTTGGGGGTAGCCTGAGGTTCAAATAGCCCCATGCTCTTGAGTGCAGTGATCACATCCTCGGTCAGCATACCGGTTCCCAGGCCGAGTTCTTCAACGGTAATGGTCTCGCGCAAGGGTCTCTTGCGGGAGCCTTTGGGGGTTGAGCTGGGCTTCTGTTGGTCGGTTTCAATGGAGGTACCGCTAAGTTTGCCGCGGAGCAAGAATCGGGCAATCCGTTCGGCCCAAAAACGGACATAGCTTTTATGACCCAGCTCACTCAGTGGCTTCTCTGGTCCACCGATGCACCCACCATTGGAGTCCCATCCGCTGAGCTTGTAGCTGACACCCATCAACAATTTCCCAAGCTGCTTGTGTTGGTAGGGCGGGAAGATCAGAATACAGGCAAGATTGTTCGCGTCCCATGAGAGTTTCTCTTTTGAAAAGAAGCCGAGCACGTAGTAGCTGTCGGAATCGTCCGGGTCGGTGAAAGTGAGGATGTAGTACAGGAAGGTTGCGACATCGAAAAAGACTGTCTTGTGGTCGAGGAAGAGTTTTGCGAAAAGAGACAAATTCTGTCCGAAAAGTTTGTGATTTTGCCCATCAACCTCCCACACTGCATACCCGCCATGGTCGTACACTTTCGTGCCTGGTGGGGTTATGCGATGCTCGCAGGCGCGTTTGTGTTGCTCAAACAGCGCCCCGTCGCATGAGTATCGAAAGCACCAGCGACAGACGTAGAGTCGATCGGCGTCTTTGGCGACGAGGTCTTCCGGGTAGATGGATTGATTCCATGGTTTGAACAAGAGATCGCCCAATACGACGTTGTTCACGTTGCGATCGGCTGGGGTCTGCAATGACGCAGACTTCGGAGTCGCCATTGATTTCTATGGAGATTCGAGCGGCGCGACGTGATATCGAAGTTATCGAAATGTTAGGTTTCGGAGGTGTTCATGCGATGTACCGTCTCCAATGGACCAGCCATTGGTATTATCGTGGAAATGAGAGCTGCAAATAGATGAAAAGACCAGGCACAGTCGCGCAGACATTGGGAGACGTTATGTGGACATATCTCAATTGGTATTATTCATTGTCCATTGCATCCCATTCAAATGTCAGGAACATTCAGAGTTTGACACCTAGAATTCCAGGCAAACATATAGTGTCATGTGATCGGAGCGGGGATCTTCCGGAAAGCTTCATCATGCTTGCTCTTATCCTGTTGCCTGAAACTCCCATGTATTTTTATTTCTTATATTCCTTGGATTTTTTTGGCTGTCGCCCTTGCCTCTGGAAGATCCAAACTTGAAAATTTGAAGGTGTTGCCACAGGCAGCAACATATGAATCTCGTGATCTTTTTCCCCGTTTATACACCCCCATCTTCAAACTAGCCCCAAAGGCATCATAATTCCAAACCATTTCATATCTTTATCAACTCTACTCTAGTTCCCTTTTTGTTTTCGATTCTGTAACGCCCCACCAGTTTGTGGTCCTGATCTACAGGGCTCACATTGCATCTTCTCCATGTTGAAGCCCTTCCAAATCAGAAACCTTCGGGTACCCACTGAGCACCAACCCGAGCAGCCTGCCGATTCTCGTACTTCCTCAGGGGTGGTCCAGATCTCTGCTACAGATTACGATGATTTAGCGTCAAAACATCCCCGCGCAAGGCTGACTTATATGGATGACGATGATGATGAAACAATCACCGTAAGTTCACAACAGTCTGCTATCTATTATGCCGAAGTCAAATTCTTACCCTTTCCTTAGGTTGGATCCGCTCTCGAACTCTCTCAGTGCCTTGAGGAGCCCCTAGACCTTAATGCACAGCTTGAGTCCGTTGAGCATTCTCTCGATGACATCAGTCCGATGCACATATTTGATATTCGTCGATCAAACTCCGTGACCGAGTTGTGGAAGCGATTTGAAGACAACATTCCAAAACAAGGCACGGCTGATGATAAGAACGACACGCAAGCTACTTCTAAGGCTATTGTTCTCGAGGGGCAACATGAAGTGCCAGTTCCTCATATTACGAGCTCGCCACCTGTCTCTGAGGATCAACCTCGCCCTTTCATGGAAGCATTTGAGGCCGAGCTAGCAGAGATGCTCAATGCTTCTGAATCCTCGAAGGGTAGAGTACCTCAACCTGACTCGCCACCGACTACTGAGCCATCAGCCAACACAAACTCAGGGCGATCTCCTCATCCCGTTGAGATCTTAGCGGCACAAGTTCTAGACCAGCTGATCAACGGCGCTACTATGGTACAATCTGAGTGGCGGTCAAAAATGCCTGAGCTACAGCGACAACTACAGAATGCTCAGAGACAATTTGAGGCTGCACAGAGATCTCTGCCTGAGAACGTGGAATCATCACTGCGGACACTACTTGCCACTGTTGAGGCTCACCTAAGAACCGCTTTTAATAATCTCCCAGATGGTGGGAGGCAAATGGCAGAAGATGCCTTCCAAGCAGGAAGACCTGTCGCTGAGAATGCCGCCGATGGTTTTCGTACGATGGCCTCTGAACTCAACGAAGTCGGAAGAACATTATTTGCCGCATTTGAATGCGAGTTTGGGCGCGCTAGATCGACAGCCTCTACGTCTACCTCGACTTCGGAGGTGCCAAACCCTGGTCCACCAGGGCCGTTCTTTAACACTGCTGCAAGCAATGGATCTGCGGCTCCTGACACTTTGTATTCCCAAACCCCAGGCGCACAACCTTCAAGCACAGCCACAGACGAGAAATCAACAGCAGGCCCAGGCCAATCGAACCCATCGCACACTACTCATGCAGGAATACCCCCCTTCCAAAGTCATCATAGTCGTCAACCTATACCCGCTCATCCAAATCATTGGGCACCTCCCTTGTGGCCTGCTCCATTTTGGAATCCATTCCAAACTTACAACGCACCTCCCCCTCCCTGTCCTCCTCTACCGTCGGCATCGCTGCCGAATTTCAATTCCTGGCCGCAAGGGCCTCCTGCACCTCCGTCTCCTGGGCTCAATGCCCCGTTGAACGCTAGACAAACATCACAAGTGAAGTCTGAAGAATCGAAGAACTTTTCAACAACTAAATCCTTGTTCATTGGGAATGTTGGTTTCAAGGTTACCGACAAGATGATACAGGATGTGTTTGCTGCCAAAGGATTCCTCGTCAATGTGGATCTCCCACTCGATACCACATCAGGAAGACATGCAGGCTTTGGCTACGTTAATTTCCCTTCGGAATACCCAGCTCTGGCTGCAATAGAGGCATTGCAAGGTGCTGTCATTGACGGTCACTCGATAAACCTGGAGCCTATGTATCATCCCGCCATCGAAAGTGTGCGTCCGGTGCAGATTTCATCGAATGCCACTACAACCGCACACGATACTCAGAAAAACGGCCCTCGGGCTAATATGAGCCGTGTAAACAACACTCGCTCTGAACGAAACAGTACCACATTGGGACCCTCTGCGTCCCCGCTTGCTGTCCAGTCACAAAAGACTCCATCCCAAGCTGACAAAACGGATAATCGCAGAAAATCTGTCAGCTTCGTAGACCTCACGCAAGATACTGATCCTGGTCCACCCCAGACAGAATCATCCGCACTACTTGACTCTCCGAGCGACGACCCTGCATTCAGCGCACGTTTTCCCTCGCTTTTACCCGAGACAAGTGCACAGCTGAGCGGCCGGGGTGTTCCCTCGTATTCTAACACTGAGTCTCGTTTCCCACCCGTGTCTCAATGGGAGGCCCAGCTTCTTGCAAATCGGCAGGAAGACCGTGAAACAGAGCCTATGACTGGTGTTTTGCATAGTCAATCGCCAAAGAGCCCCGAACACCGCGAGGGACTCTCCACTCACATTTTACCCCTGCATCCTACCCCGAAGGGGTTTGATCAATCTCAACCAGCTTCCGGTGCCAACAAGGCTGTACGCCCAGTGGTAGGTCTCAATGACCCCCACCCTGCGGCCAAATTGAAGCGCCGAGCCACTGAGCACAAAACTTTTAAGCCAAATCATTTACACGCTGCAAAGACTGGCCATCATCATCACCTCAAGCATTCCACAAGTATGCGTCCTGGGGATAGATCGAATGGTCCTACTGAGACAGACACATGGGCACGTCTGTCTAGGCGAGAACGAAATGCTGTATCTTCTCACGAACAACTTCCCGGAAGCTTCCCAGTGGAAGATACCACGGCGGAAGTTACGGCGAGAGCCCGTCTTTCTAGTACACTTGATGCCAGCATTCCTGAGACTGATAATGCGGCGATCGAACGGTGTGTTTCTGCTCTTATCGACATGGGATACGGGGCTGGGCAGGAGGGCGGACGGTCGAGAATGGCTGTGTATGCGGCTATGGTAGATGGTGTCCTCATGGATGCGATTGATATGATTGAAGAGGAAAGACAGGTTTATGAACGGCGGCCTTCGCAGTGAGGCATGGAAATATTTGCTTGCTTTTTTAATTTGGGGTCGTCCAACGGCCCAGTCATTCCTTTAGCTGCAATTTAGCTTGACTGGAATTCTTGTGGTATTTAGTCTCGATAGTGTTGAAATCCCACTTTGCTCTAATGACTTGCTGTAGATGTTTCGAGACATCAATCTACTATATACTTTTTAGATGGTCTTCTATTATATATCTTGGATATCATTGTTGTATGATTTGGGGCTATTCAAGTGAGAAAGTGTATAGATTGGTAGGACTGGCTGGTTATATTTAAACTATTGCATAGGATTTGAAACGAGATTGTAGTCTACGACATATTTATTTGGACTTCAAGATTCTTTCGAAATAAACAATGCTGCCAATACAACATTGAATTGTAAACCGAGCCTATCAATGGCAATAATGCCAGTACATGCTGCCCAGGTGAGAATGCTAATCGGACCGACATCAACGCCGATAAGTTTCCTGGCCGCGATCTCCGAACTCTCCGACCATTCAACCCACAGCACCTTCAGCAATGCAGATATGGCGGCGGACCTTCGCCACGTCTGTGGGCAGGCTTACCAATAGCTCAATTAATGCTCGTCCCTCTATCGTGCGATGCGCGCAGATCCTCCAAGCTAGCAAGAATGGCGGAGTCTGCAGCTTCGAGGACCAAGAAATCAAAGTGAATGGGTTCGTTCGGTCTGTACGGAAGCAGAAACGCTTTGCGTTCGCAGAAATAACTGATGGTTCGACCGTGGAGCCACTACAGGCGTTCCTAAAACCCGCGCAAGCAGCAGAGTACGTTTGACCGCGAGTGAGCTGTGATCCTCGACCTTTGTCAGCGAAGACTAACTCGAGCGCTCTTTTCCTAGTCTGTCAACTGGGACTGCGATCGAAATATCGGGCATATGGAAAGCTTGCCCACCGGGTAAAGAACAAACCCATGAGCTCCAAACAACCGATGTTAAGGTTGTAGGCGCATCGGACCCAGAGGTGAGCCCACGAGCTTTCTCCCAGCTGTCGCCAGACCTCAAACTAACCATGATACCTATGGTTGCAGACGTTTCCGATCCAGAAGAAGTATCACAGCCCCGACTTCCTGCGCCAGATCCCCCACCTCCGCATTCGAACACCCTTCAATTCTCTCCTTTCGCGCTTCCGATCCGAGTGCATGTTCCAACTTGGCAATGTCTTCCACTCTCATCCGGACGGAGCTTTTACACAAGTTCAGCCCCCCCTTATAACGTCCTCGGATTGTGAAGGTGCAGGTGAGACGTTCACATTGGCACCACGTGGTGCCGCTACACCCAGCACCGATAACGAGCATTTCTTCCGATCGCCAAAATACCTCACTGTATCGTCGCAGCTTCACCTGGAAGCTTATGCAGCAGAGCTAGGCAATGTCTGGACATTGACACCCGTGTTCCGGGCGGAGAAGAGCGATACACCGCGCCACCTCAGCGAGTTCTACATGCTCGAAGCTGAGGTGAATTTCATGTCCGATCTTGACTCGCTTACTGGCTTAGTGGAGCATCTGCTACGCGACCTGACGCGTCGTCTATATAATACTCCTGTGGGCCAAGAGATCCTGTCGGCCAAACGGTCTGGCGAGCCAGGCCAGGAAACCAGCGCCGAGGAGACGGGATCTTTACGGCAAAGATGGACCGATCTAATGGATGGGCCAAAATGGCACCGTGTCACATACACCCAAGCAGTGGGGATGCTCCAGCGTGCCGTTGCCGAAGGAGAAGCGTCGTTTGAGCATGCCCCGACATGGAATGGAGGCCTACAACTTGAGCATGAAAAGTATATTGTCGAGGTGCTCTATAAAGGGCGTCCTGTCTTTGTGACGGACTACCCGAAATCCGTCAAGCCGTTCTACATGGCCCCTTCGCAAGCTGCTGACGACAGCAACACACCCGGGGAGACAGTGGCATGTTTCGATCTGCTCCTCCCCGAAGTCAGCGAAGTCGCTGGGGGTTCCCTGCGCGAGCATCGCCTGCCCAATCTCATCCAGAACATGCGTGAGCACGGTTTGATCAAGCCCCGACAAATCCCTGAGTCTGGTGATCCAGCTCCAGGCGAGTCGCTGTATCCTTATCTCACCCCCGACGAGGACTTGAGCCACCTTCAATGGTATGCTGACCTCCGACGCTGGGGCTCTGCTCCCCATGGAGGCTTTGGGCTCGGATTCGATCGATTCCTAGGATATTTGACTGGCGTCTCCAGTGTTCGGGATATCGTGTCCTTCCCGCGATACTTCGGTCGCGCTGATTGCTGAGGCTTATCAGAGGTATCACCTGGTGTATGATAGATTTGTAATATAATATGCATGAAAACTAAATGGATAGAGAGAAATAGAATTGGAAACAACCCAAGAGCGACATGAGCTGATCCACCGAGTAACTCATAACTGGGCCTAGCTTTGCTCTATTGATAATATACGAGGCATTCCGTATCAACCGCCGAGCTATACTGAATTCCCAACGGCGCGAAAAAAAAAGTAATATCGCGACATATTACCGAATAGAGCAAAGACAGGGGGACTCGTCCGCAGGCATCCGCATATCGGAGCCTCCGTCGCATTTTGTGACCAAATTCGACTAGTGAGAATACAAGTCTCTTACCACCTGAAGGTAAAAAAAGGGCTTGCAGATACTAACCGGTAGTGCCCGGCCCAGCTTACTTTGTATATTACTCTCATTCAACCTTAGCACAATTATGAAGCTCCCCACGGCAACTTATATACCACACAGGCGTTATATACTCACTAGTTCCGCTATGACTAAAAAGACAAGGGAAATTGACAAGGGAAATTGAGAAGAAAATTCCGACTAAATTCTCAATCTCATACTCCGTGCGAAGTACTCTGTAGATCGCTGGAATATAAGAACTAGGGCAGAGGCTTTATGTAGAGCTTACTGATCTACCCGCCTTGTATGCCCATTTCCCGTTTTGTTTACTAGCCCGAGATTCTAATTTCAAATTGCGACCTGAACGCTCAAGATAAATGAACGGGCACGAGCGAAAAGAAAGATGGCAACTAAATTATAGTTACATCCACAGATGTAGTTATTCCTTTTGCATTATTGGGTTCTGGCCCCTGTTCCAAGCCTCAGCCAAGTGATCATCCAAGACAATCAGCCGAAGCCAGAACAAAGCGCAACGCTAAAAACCCGAAGGAATGCTACGTAACCAGAGGAAAAAAAATCTGACATCCGAGTCCAGTGCCCTCGTACCAAACACGGGATAGGACATCGTTATGTGATATCGAAGGTCGGCGATCTATATATGCTTACTCCATACATTGATATTCGTACTCCGTATACAGGGCTGAACTAGAGTGCAAGACATTCAACGTTAATAAGCACCGCACGGACGAAATAATTGGATGCTGGAGGTTAAGTTGGCGAAATAAAATTAAGACATAGATCTTGCTGCATTAGCAGGGCGCCAGGCGTAGTCGATCGTTTCACGATAAAAGTAGCTCTACAACATAACTAGCGAGTAGACCGGACGTTTTTGTACATGCATACATAGCTGGGGTAGCAGGCGTATACCTCGTATACATGTACGGCAGATCTTATCCTTGAGTTATGCACCGGAGCTTCGGACCCCAGCAAAGCAAAGCCAAGCACTGTAGTGTGGAAATGAGGCGTCCCACCGAATGTAAAAAATTGGGGCGTGGCACTAGTTTGGGGCAGTACGGAGTACGTAGGTTAATTGCTGGAAAGGATACATATCAGTACCCTAATTAGGAAATAGGACGGCGAGACGGGATGTTCAACGGCAACGAAATTCAAGGAATTGAGCCTCGGCGGACGAGTGCTCCATCGGGAGAAAACGTGATCGACCGAGAGGGGGGGGAAGAGTGGGCTTTGGAGTATTTGGAGTATTTTGGCTCAGTTACTGTTTCGGATCTCGCTTATTTATGCCGAGCATTCCGGTTTCAGTTAGGATTTATAGATTTTGTATTGCCACTTGTCCTTATTGTGGCGAGAGGCTGTATACCACATAGTTAATGAAAGTCCATCAGATTAGAATAGAAAAATATTACAGCCTCATAAGAAGCGCACAGCCTTGAAATAATATATTTGACTTTGACAAAGCGAGTACAGCTTCCATGCCAATAAGGGGGGCAGGATCAGCAGGTAAGGGGCCCTAACCTTACCAGGGTTAAGCATAAGCAAAAAGAATGGGCAGTGCGCGCCTTGTACGAGTCATGTAGCACATCCCTGCCTGACGTGTCACATTACAAATAGATGTGATTTGCGGTCTAATTATTTGATAAATTCATAAGGTTACATTCAGATCTTCGTATTCGGCTTCAGAAACTCCCCGAGAAAAAGAACGCCACATGGGATTTATGTCCATGTAAAGCTGGGTCAAGGCAAATTTGAATTGAAACATCTAAAGTAACGCTAAGTAAAATAAAGGTACGGAGTTAACATTAACCATAAATTTGCGGTTTCCATAGTTCGGAGAAAACTGGATTTTATCTAGCCTTCGATGACATTTGCCCTAGGACCATGGTCTAGCCAAAATCATCTTGGCATTCATAATTCTTGGCCTCAAGACTTACGTCTCTGATTTGGGGTAGGCACCAGCATTTGTTGCACTGCCATTTCTTGGACATCTAGGATGTGATCAATATGGTGAACCTTGAAAGTCAATATTACAAAAATTGGACCAGAATAAAATGAAACCCTTTTGACCACGGAACGTACTATATGAAATGAAATTAAACGAGGTAATTCCACTTGAAAATCAATTCCAGCACATTCCCTCTTCATCCAGACAATGGATACCTTAATTATGCTAGTGGAGATAAGCTCGTGTGACGTTTCACAAAATTAATTCTTGGCAACCTTTAATTCCAAGGTTGCAACGAATGCATGACAATACAAGAATCGCACGTCATTTTTATTTTGGGATCAGTTGCCTCATATGCATTGTCTCTGACTGGGCCAAATCCAGCTATACCTTAGCTGATTTGAGGCTCTCA